ACAGCTGACGACTCGCAAACACATCAGCTCTGCTGCAGGGTACCTGAGACACAGGTGAGACCCACAGGTGAGGTGAGACACACAGGTGAGGTGAGACACACAGGTGAGGTGAGACACATTTGTGAGGTGAGACACATTTGTGAGGTGAGACACACAGGTGAGGTAAGACACACAGGTGAGGTAAGACACACAGGTGAGACCCACAGGTGAGGTGAGACACACAGGTGAGGTGAGACACACAGGTGAGACACACAGGTGAGAAACACAGGTGAGGTGAGGCACACAGGTGAGACACACAGGTGAGGTGAGACACAGGTGAGACACACAGGTGAGACACACAGGTGAGGTGAGGCACACAGGTGAGACACACAGGTGAGGTGAGACACAGGTGAGGTAAGACACACAGGTGAGACACATAGGTGAGGTGAGGCACACAGGTGAGACACACAGGTGAGGTGAGACACACAGGTGAGGTGAGACACACAGGTGAGGTGAGGCACACAGGTGAGGTCAGACACACAGGTGAGACACACAGGTGAGGTGAAACACAGGTGAGGTAATACACACAGGTGAGACACATAGGTGAGGTGAGACCCACAGGTGAGGTGAGACACACAGGTGAGGTGAGACACACAGGTGAGACACACAGGTGAGGTGAGACACAGGTGAGGTAATACACACAGGTGAGACACATAGGTGAGGTGAGACCCACAGGTGAGGTGAGACACACAGGTGAGACCCACAGGTGAGGTGAGACACACAGTTGAGACCCACAGGTGAGGTGAGACACACAGGTGAGGTGAGACACACAGGTGAGGTGAGACACACAGGTGAGGTGAGGCACACAGGTGAGGTGAGACACACAGGTGAGGTGAGACACACAGGTGAGGTGAGGCACACAGGTGAGGTGAGACACACAGGTGAGGTGAGGCACACAGATGAGACACACAGATGAGACACACAGGTGAGGTGAGGCACACAGATGAGACACACAGGTGAGACACACAGGTGAGGCACACAGGTGAGGCACACAGATGAGACACACAGGTGAGACACACAGGTGAGGCACACAGGTGAGGCACA